AGGGTCTCCCTATATAGGTTAGACTGGTCTTGAACTCAGTATGTAATCCAGGCTGGCCTCAAACTTGGAATAATCCTCCTGCCTCAGCCTCCCAAGCACTGGGATGACAGGTGTGCGCCACCACAGCTGGCTTCTGGCACGAAATATTTTAAATATCACCTTTCTGTCCTGCATGTCCAGTAGGGCACTGAACCCACACAGAAGGTGGATGAGAGGAGGGGCGATGCTCTCCCATGGGGAGTCACGCTGCGTGTCATGACATCCTCCATCCAGAGCTATGCCTTTTGCAAGCCAAGGGCCATGGTGATGACCCTGTATCAAGTCAAACTGGAACGCTCCGGCTTCTTGGGGAACGATGGTGGGTTTGTGGATAAAGGCAAGGATGGGCTATAAGGAGTCAGGCTCTGGAGACCTGGCCCTCAGGAGATGGTGGCAAATGTTCCCATTCAACCCTTCCAGCGGCACAACTCTGTAACGTTACCAGTCCCCGAGATGGACACGTTCAGGGAGGCAGTGACTTGCCTAAGGGCACAAAGAGACTAAGTGGTGAAGCTGGGATTTGAACCCAGCCCTGACACCAACCCATGTACTGCTGAAGCACCTCGCCCTGTGGAGTGGCTGCTTTCCTTGTCCCCATTTCCCAGACACAAAGCAGAGGTCCCAGTCACACGGGGGGCAGGGCAGTGATTTGAAGCTGGCCTCTGCCACCTCAGGGCACGTTTTGTTCTTTTGAGACAGGGTCTTGGATCCGCTAATTCTGCAGCTCCAGGCTGAACTAGAACTCAGTGATTTTCCTGCCTGCCCCCCTATACTAGGATTACAGCATGCACCCCACCCCCAGCTCGAGCCTGCACTTTCCTTTTTTGTTTTGTTTTGTTTCAAGGACTGATGTCTTGCTGTCACCCAGGCTGGCCTGGAACTCCTGGGCTCAAGTCATCCTCCTGCCACAGCCTCCAGAACACCTGACATTACAGCTGCATACAGCTGAGCCCTGCTTTAAAAAAGTACTCGGGAGGTGTGTGAAACAAGTCCCTGGGATAAGGTAAGAACACAAACACCTCTATTCCTACTCATGTTTTATTGTAACGTGGAATAATGTAAGCCGTATACACCGATAGTAGTATTTGCGCATAACTTATAAATACAGACACACTGCATACATGCCCCGATACTATTTTCCTATGAAATGGGGACTCCCAACTGCTTCTGGGTGCCATTTTTAGAGTGGGGAGAGGGAGGAAGAAGTTAAGTGTGGGCTCCAGGGCCTGCTGGCCTGGGTTCAAGTCCCTGATCCGCTAATTCTGCAGCTCTCTGGCCTTGGGCAAGTGACATCACCACTCTGGCCTCAGCTGTGCTCACTGCAAAATGGGCAACTAGCAGCTGTCACTTCAGAGGGATGAAGTGAAGACAGGTCAGTGTGTCCATGTTTACACCGAGTGACACGTGGTACCTGGTATGGGCTCCGCCACCGTGTGCCACACTACCGTTGGCCTCCTGGCAAGTGGGGTGCAGGCGCTGAGAGCCCAAGTTCTGAGGTATGGTAAGGAGTGAGCTGGGATCCAGGCCCGTTTTAACCACAGCCCACTGTGCTCGGAGCTGTCCCCTCCTCCGCAAGGTGGGGTTAAGAGCAGCAGGGACCTCACACAGTCCGTAGGGAAGAAGTCACACTGCTGTCCTACCTTCCACAGTCTGAGAAGACCAAAAGCTCAAGAGTCACGAGGGCTATGGAACCCCGACGCTGGGTTGTCACCCTGGCAGCCACGGGAGGCCACCAGGAGCGGGACAGACACGCCCTCTAGTGGAGCAAGCAACCCCTGCAGCCGAGGGATGGGAGTGCTTATTGCCTTACTGGGCACTGGATGGTAAGTCCAGGGCCCTCGGAATCAAGGAGGAAACTGAGGCAGACACACTGCTCCAAAGTGATAGCGCCAGAATCCAGAACCTACTCTTTTTCCCAAACTGTCCCAGATCAGGGGTACAGGACGCTTCTCCGAGGCCCAGGCCTGTGTCGGGCCCTAAAGGACGGCCTGGCATCCCCGGCCCTGTCCACCAAATGCCTGCAGCTCCGTTGATTACTGAGGTGTCGCAGGATGTTCTCGGTCACATCTGCTGCTCACAGCGGGCAGGACCTCTGGAGAATCTCCGCGTTTGCTTCTGATCCTGATTCTTCTGGAAGGGCCAGGTTCTCTCCGGGGCTTCCCGCTTCCAGCACACGGCCCCTAAACTCCATCAAAGGAAGCTTCTCCACACCCAAACAGACCGCAGGCTATAAAGGAAGCTCCCCATGCCCGAACGCTACCCTGATCCCGGGGACCCCAGATGCGGGCGTCGGGGCTTCAGCCGCCTGTCAAACTCAGGAGCGCAGGGTTCGGGTACTCTGGGTTCTCGATGACCCCCGGGCCAAACTTAAGCTCCAGGAAGCGGCGGTAGTTATTGGGGGCCTGCGCCACAAAGCCAGCAAAGGGCAGAGGCACCAGAGGCTGCAGGAAGTGCTCGGGGAACTCGACGTCCTGCCGGTGGTCCAGCCACGTGTCCTTGGTCATGACCCCGTTGCGGGGGTAGAAGGGCCACAGGTCCACGTGCAGGTGGTTCGTCTCGCTGTACTGCACACGGAAGAAGTCGCCCTCCACGGCCTTCTCCCACACGAAGCCGCGCTCGTCCACCACCGAGCCGGCCTCGGCCCCCCGCAGCTGCTCGCAGTTGCCCACGTCCTCCAGGTAGATCCCCAAGTCCACGTCGTAGTCCCAGGGGATGATGTCCCCGTGGCGCGCTGCGCCCAGCAGCGAGCCGCCCTCCAGCCAGTAGCGCACGCCCGCGGCCTCCAGCACGCCCACCACGTAGCGCGCCGTCTCGCGCAGCGCGCGCAGGCAGCACGGCGGCGTCCAGCGCCCCTCGTACAGGTAGGAAGGCGTGTCGCCCACCACCGTCCCGAAGCAGCGCGCGCTCTCCTTGCTGCAGCCGAACCACTCAAGCCTCCCGCCAGCCCAGCTCACCAGGCGGATGCCCAGCGCGCGCAGCAGCGCCGCCCGCCGTGCGCGC